AAAAAATTTTAACACATGAAATATTAATTTTAATACACACAAACTGAAGAAGACATGCACAGTTACATGACACTTTACCTTTATTGAAGTTCTGGTGATGATTGATGGGATGGGAAGAGGGGAGTGTGTTGATGGTCTTAGTGTTTAGAAGGGGAATCCCCTTCCATTAGGACTTGAGGTGGCAAGTCCTTTTTCGGGGTTACTTCCCTTCTTTTAATGCCACTAGGACCAGCTTGAGAGTCACTGGACCTCTGTTGCACAACATATCTGCCCATAGAGGCCTATACCTCCCGTTCCTTTATGACATTCCTAACGTGCTTCACAACATTGTCAGTGTCACCATTAAATACTTGTTCAGGTTTCAGTCCTTCACTGTCTATGTACTCCTTGAATTCCTGCACATATTTTTCAGCTGCTTTTTGGTCCAAACTGGCAGCCTCACCATGCCTTATCACACTATGTATGCCACTACGATTCTTAAATCTCTCAAACCAACCTTTGCTGGCCTTAAATTCACTCACATCACCACTAGTTGCTGGCATTTTTCTAATTAAATCGTCATGCAACTTCCTAGCCTTTTCACATATGATCACTTGAGAGATGCTATCTCCTGCTATCTGTTTTTCGTTTATCCATACCAATAACAGTCTCTCAACATCTTCTATCACTTGCGATCTCAGTTTCGAAAACATAGTTGCACCTTTGGCAAGAACAGCTTCCTTGATTGCCGTTTTCTTGGCCACAATAGTAGCGATGGTTGATTGGGGTTTTGTGTACAGCCTGGCCAGCTCGGAGACATGCACTCCACTTTCATACTTAGCAATGATCTCTTTCTTCATATCCATAGTAATTCTCACCCTTTTTGCTGCAGGGTTGGCACTACAAGCTTTCTTGGGGCCCATGGTGACTTATTTGCAGTTGCAATCACTAAAAAGGCTGTGATAATATGAAATGTTGCGATTGTATGCTTGGAAGCGACTGCGGTGGCTGGCTGGCTTGTAAACACTGGCCAGAAGTGGACGCGTCTCAGACGGAAGGAATAGTGTTGGTCGAGTTTTTTAGCGCTAATCAAGGCAAAATTTTTGCGATAAAATGTATCGCTAGTCAGATTTATCGTTAATCGATGCCATCGCTGGTCGAGGGTCCACTGTATTGTGTATTTTTATACGTATATACTTCTAAACTGTTGTATTCTGGGCACCTCTGCAAAAACAGTGATTATGTGTGAGTGAGGTGAAAGTGTTAAATGATGATGAAAGTATTTTCTTTTTGGGGATTTTCTTTCTTTTTGTGTCACCCTGCCTCGGTGGGAGACGGCCGACTTGTTGAAAGAAAAAAAAAAGTATACAAGGCATGATATAGCACATAATGAAAGTAGTTTGTTAGATTATGTATTGGTGGATAAAAGGTTGATGGGTAAGCTTCAGGATGTTCATGTTTATAGAGGAGCAACTGATATATCGGATCATTATTTAGTCATAGCTACAGTCAGAGTAAGAGGTAGATAGGACAAAAGGAAAATGGCAAGAGCAAGTGAGAGAGAGGTGAAAGTGTATAAACAAAGGGAGAAGGAAGTTAGGGCAAGATATAAGCAACTATTGGCAGAAAGGTGAGCTAGTGCAAATATGAGTAGTGGAGGGGTTGAAGAGGGTTGGAATAGTTTTAAAAATGCAGTACATGTATTAGAATGTGGGGCAGAAGTTCGTGGTTATAGGAGGGTGGGTGCAGGAGGAAAGAGTAGTGATTGGTGGAATGATGAAGTAAAGGGTGTGATAAAAGAGAAAAAGATAGCTTATGAGAGGTTTTTACAAAGCAGAAGTGTTATAAGAAGAGCATAGTATATGGAGAGTAAAAGAAAGGTGAAGAGAATGGTGAGAGAGTGCAAAAGGAGACCAGATGATAGAGTGGGAGAGGCACTGTCAAGAAATTTTGCAGAAAATAAGAAAAAAAAAATTGGTGTGAGATAAAGAAGTTAAGAAAACCTAGGGAACGAACGGATTTGTCAGTTAAAAACAGAGTAGGGGAGTAGTAGATGGGGAGCTGGAGGTATTGGATAGATTTTAAATGTCGATGAACAAAGGGAGGTGGTAATTTCATGCACTGGCCAGGGAGGTATAACATCTTTTAGGAGCGAAGAAGAGCAGGATGTAAGTGTGGGGAAGGTGTGTGAGGCAATACGTAAAATGAAAGGGGTAAAGCAGCTGAAACTGATGGGATCGTGGCAGAAATGTTAAAAGCATAGGGGGGATATAGTGTTGGAGTGGTTGGTATTTTTGTTTAATAAATGTATGAAAGAAGGGAAGGTACCAAGAGATTGGCAGAGAGCATGTATAGTTCCTTTATATAAAGGGAAGGGAGACTAAAGAGATTGTAAAAATGATAGGGGAATAAGTTTACTGAGTATACCAGGAAAAGTGTACAGTAGGGTTATTATCGAGAGAATTAGAGGTAACGCAGAGAGTAGGATTGCAGATGAGCAAGGAGGCTTTAGAGTGGGTAGGGGATGTGTAGATCAAGTGTTTACATTGAAGCATATAAGTGAACAGTATTTAGATAAAGGTAGGGAAGTTTTCATTGTATTTATGGATTTAGGAAGGGCATATGATAGAGTGGATAGAGGAGCAATGTGGCAGATGTTGCAAGTGTATGGAATAGGTAGTAAGTTACTAAATGCTGTAAAAAGTTTGTATGAGGATAGTGAGGCCCAGGTTAGGATGTGTAGGAGAGGGAGATTACTTTCTGATAAAAGTAGGTATTAGAAAGGGATATGTAATGTCACCATGGTTGTTTAATATATTTATAGATGAGGTTATGAAGGTGGTAAATGCTTCGGTGTTGGGGAGAGGGGTGGGATTAAATTATGGGGAATCAAGTACAAAATAGGAGTTGACACAGTTACTTTTTGCTGATGATACTGTGCTTATGGGTGATTCTAAAGAAAAGTTGCAAAGGTTAGTGGACGAGTTTGGGAGGATGTGTAAAGGTAGAAAGTTGAAAGTGAATGTAGATAAGAGCAAGGTGATGAGGGTATCAAATGATTTAAATAAAGAAAAACTGGATATCACATTGGAGAGAGGGAGTATGGAAGAAGTGAATGTTTTTAGATATTTGGGAGTTGATGTGTCAGTGGATGGGTTTATGAAGGATGAGGTTAACAATAGAATTGATGAAGGAGAAAAGGTGAGTGGTGCATTGAGGTATATGTGGAGACAAAAAACTTTAAATCTATGGAGGCAAAGAAGGGAATGTATGAAAGTATAGTGGTACCAACACTTACATGGATGTGAAGCTTGGGTTGTAAATGCTGCAGCGAGGAGACGGTTGGAGGCAGTGGAGATGTCCTGTCTAAGGGCAATGTGTGGTGTAAATATTATGCAGAGAATTCGGTGTTTGGAAATTAGAAGGTGTGGAGTTAATAAAAGTATTAGTCAGAGGGCTGAAGAGGGGTTGTTGAGGTGGTGTGGTCATTTAGAGAGAGTGGATCAAAGTAGAATGACACGGAGAGCGTATAAATCTGTAGGGAAGGAAGGTGGGGTAGGGGTCGTCCTTGAAAAGGTTGGAGGGAGGGGGTAAAGGAGGTTTTTTGGGCGATGGGCTTGGACTTCCAGCAAGCGAACGTGAGCGTGTTAGATAGGAGTGAATGGAGATGAATGGTTTTCAGGACCTGACGATCTGTTGGAGTGTGAGCAGGGTAATATTTAGTGAAGGGATTCAGGGAAACCGGTTAGTTTTATTTAGCTGGACTTGAGTACTGGAAATGGAAAGTACAATGCCTACACTTTAAAGGAGAGGTTTGGGATATTGGCAGTTTGGAAGGATGTGTTATATATCTTTATATATGCTTCTAAACTGTTGTATCTGGGCACCTCTGCAAATACAATAATTATGTATGAGTGCGGTGAAAGTGTTGAATAATAATGAAAATATTTTCTTTTTGGGGATTTTATTTCTTTTTGGGGATTTTATTTCTTTTTGGGTCACCCTGCCTCGGTGGGAGACAGCCGACTTGTTGAAAAAACAAAGAACAAAAAACAAAAACAAAAACTAAAAAATAGAAATGAAGTAAGGAGAAAAGTATGAGATGTATAATAGAGAAGTCTTGAGAAAAGGAACTTTTTTTTTTTTTTTTTTAACAAGTCGGCTGTCTCCTACCGAGGCAGGGTGACTCAAAAAGAAAGAAAATCCCGAAAAAGAAAATACTTTCATCATCATTCAACACTTTCACCTCACTCACACATAATCACTGTTTTTGCAGAGGTGCTCAGAACACAACAGTTTAGAAGCATATACGTATAAAGATACACAACATATCCCTCCAAACTGCTAATATCCTGAACCCCTCATTTAGAGTGCAGGCATTGTGCTTCCCATTTCCAGGACTTAAGTCTGGCTATTAAAAATAACCGGTTTCCCTGAATCCCTTCACTAACTATTACCCTGCTCACACTCCAACAGCTCGTCAGGTCCCAAAAACCATTCATCTCCATTCACTCCTATCTAACACACTCACACACACTTGCTGGAAGGAACTATATTGTAATATTCTTGGGACTGTCCATACAGTATATTAGTACATGGACTGGTATACTGCAAATACATACATAACCCGCACATAGAAGAGAGGAGCTTACGACCACGTTTTGGTCCGACTTTTCATTAGTGTGACTTTGTAAATGGTCCAAATTGGACCAAAACGTCGTCATAAGCTCCTCTCTTCTATGTGTGGGTTATACGTGTATCGTTCCAGTCACGGTATTGTGCCTTTTTTTGTTATGCTGCAAATCTTTTAGAATATGAATACGGTAATCTTGAACACTGCATTGTTTTCAGTAGTTTATGTATTCACTTTTTGGGAGATTATTTTAATACATTGATGATACAGTTAATGTAGAAATATTGTAGCAGATGGTGTATGTAGTGTCAAAAATTATTATAAATTGTTTCTCCTAAAACATTTTATAGTAATACTGTACATTTCACCGAGCTGTCTTGGCCAACAGAGCACTCCTGAAACCTACATCCAAAATATTCGTCGGTGGCTTCTTCCTTTCCTTGCTCGGTGTGAGAAGTGGCATCCAGGCAGTGCTAGGTCACTTCTGCGGACCTATGTAGTAAATACAGCCAAACAAGACCTCCGTCTACCATTGAAGATATTGCAAGTAAGAGTTATAAGTTTTTTACCTGCGTACCAATAGCTTCACAGCATGACTTACTTCACCTTGAAATACAGTGCTGTATCGTATAACTGAAACATTTTATTTAAATACTGCAAAATGCTGATAAGTATATTGTATTATGCACTAAGGGGTGGGTTAATAGTGCATTTTCTGAATAGAAGTTTTGCATTCTGCATATTTGTCAAAACAAACTTAAGATCCTGGTTGGTATTTTATTTATTTCTGTATACCCATTGTATTGATTCTGTACATAAAAAGTAGGGTTTTTTATTATTTCACCCTGGTAATAGAACTTCGAAGTCTGTGAGAAATGTGTGTAAGAGGAGGTTTACTTAATTTGAGAATATTAAAAATGGTAAACTTTGTATGATACAGTACTTTATATTGTTCTAAAATAAGCAATAATGGCATTTTTTTTTTTTTTTTTTACATTTTAACTGGAATACCAATGCAGCACATGTTACAAGATACATGACTGCCATTGTTTTTAATACTGTGTTTATTCACTGACTGTGCAAATGCCTTGTCATTGTGATGTTACTTTTATGCAAAGAATAATGACCTGATAGTATCAAAAGAGTTATGGTGAATGAAAGATATATTAGCAAGAGACAGATAAGTAAAGCTTTTGAGATGGTTTGGTCAAGAAAGAATGGAGCAAGATAGGTTGATCAAAAGGGTATATATATGATGGATAGATGGAAGAAGATATTGGAATGCCTGAGGAATGGTTGGAAGGAGTGTATTGGTTTGGAGTGAGATGAATGCAATTGTCAGTGAGGCTTGACATGCTGTTGGAGTCTGAGCATATAATACTCTGAAGGAATCCAGTAAATCCTGCTAGCTGGACTTGTTTTGAAAATTGTACGGTGATGCAGGGTTGGGAGGTTAAGGTTTGATGGGAATGTTTGTGCCCTTCTGGAAAAGTAACCAGAGAGCTAGTGATGGTTAATGTGTCGCCTTTTTTTTTTTTTTTGATTACCTTGATTTGATGGGAACTAATCTTTTATTTGTCTAAGTGTATGTATTAAACTTTTTCTATCTTTCAAGTATATTGACACGTTTGTAAAGTAGAGAATAATCTTTCAGCATTCTCGCCCTGATCAGCACTCTGGGATCATTACATCTGCAGAAGACATGATGACTATTGCAATTGATTGTGTATATGCTTGTGAAAAAGAGAACCAGCTTCCTCGAGCTTTTGCTATTCTAGAATGCCTTCCAGAAAGAGAGTCTGGGTAAGTAGCAGATAATTAAAAATATTTGTTTAAACTGCCTTGTATGATATTTTTAACATGAGAATATTGTCACGATCCTGAGGCAGCTCAATAAATAATATTTTAAATTCTTGTTGTTCATAGGAGTCCTCAGTGTTGTAGTCTGGAAAATCATACTGACTATTTAATGTGTTTAAAGTTTTTGTTTATATGGCATTTTGTAGGTGTTTCACTCATTTTCAAAGAGAACTGAAAAAAGTTGATCAGGACAGCTTTGATTTTTTCAAGTTTTTATATTCACATAAGTATTGTTTCAAAAGACTTAGTTGTACCTCATTCTTTTGAGTAGATCAGAGTGCACAGAGACCCTGGCCAAGCTGCATGACCTGGCTGACACTCTGGAAGCTCACCTCACAGCTGCAGAGCTGCTCAGCAACAATGGTGTCAGTATTACTCCTTGTCAGCTCCGCAAGTTAGAATCTGACCCAGATAAAGTACGAGAAGTACTAACCAAGCTTACAAGGGCAGCTGCCAGAAGGTAAAAAAAAAAAGATGACTAAGAAACATTGTCAGTTATATCAAGTACAGTAAATTTAAATGTTTCATAAATATTCTTTTCTCTATCAGCCAATCATATCTCTGTTAGGTTAGTGAGCCAAGGTTTGTTTCTTTCAATCTTGTGCAGTGCTCTGTGAGGAAGTCCATATTGTTTTAAGTGCTGTGGCCTGGTAGGCTATGCTCTCACCTCACACACTGAGTGTTGTGTGTGTGTGTACTCACCTAATTGTGGTTGCAGGGGTCGAGATTCAGTTCCTGGCCCTGCCTCTTCACTGACCACTACTGGGTCCTCCCTCTCCCTGTGTGTGTGTGTGTGTGTGTGTGCACGTTTGTTTGTTTGTTTTTCATTGGTTATAAAATATGTTAGTGTACATTACTTACCTTGTCTTAAAAGGCAAATGACAGAAGATTTTGAAATGTAGTTGGTCCAGGTCATTACAGTGGACCCCCGCATAACGATTACCTCCGAATGCGACCAATTATGTAAGTGTATTTATGTAAGTGCGTTTGTACGTGTATGTTTGGGGGTCTGAAATGGACTAATCTACTTCACAATATTCCTTATGGGAATAAATTCGGTCAGTACTGGCACCTGAACATACTTATGGAGTGAAAAAATATCGTTAACCGGGGGTCCACTGTAGTTTATTTTGTAGATAATGCATTAATGACTGGATTCATCAAATTCTTTTCTACTAGTTTTGTCATATTTTTGCAGAGAGCCCAGACTTTCTGATGAGGACTGGCGGAAATTGCTGTATGACATGCTAGAGCTGCAGCAAAAAGTGTTTACATGTGTGGAACCACAGTTGTGCTCTGAGGTTAGTGTCATTCTACAGTGGTCAAGGATACAACCTGACTTACAGAATTGTTTTATACAAAGCATATAGTGAAGTGGGAACTCTGATTTTTTATGACCACTATGTAGAGCAGTTCTAGGTAGTAGATTGGTAGACAGCAACCGCCCAGGGAGGTACTACCGTCCTGCCGAGTGAGTGTAAAACAGAAGCCTGTAAATGTTTTACATGATGGTAGGATTGCTGGTGTCTTTTCTGTCTCATAAACATGCAAGATTTCAGGTACATCTTGCTACTTCTACTTATGCTTAGGTCACACTACACATACATGTACAAGCATGTATATACATACCCCTCTGGGTTTTCTTCTATTTTCTTTCTAGTTCTTGTTTTTGTTTATTTCCTCTTATCTCCAAGGGAAAGTGGAACAGAATTCTTCCTCCTTAAGCCATGCGTGTCATAAGAGGCTACTAAAATGCCGGGAGCAAGGGGCTAGTAACCCCGTCTCCTGTATATATTACTAAATGTAAAAGGAGAAATTTTCGTTTTTCCTTTTGGGCCACCCCACCTCGGTGGGATACGACTGTAATTCAGTAACCTTTTTCTTCTGTATATGTATGGGCGTTTGAAAACGATGGACCCAATTTCAAAGCAAACTGCATTGAACTTGGGTTCATCTCTTTGAAACACCCTGTATTCTTATATGTTCTCTTTCAATGTTTAATCTTGTATCCCAGGCAGCACACTAAGTACGTTCCAATTGCATCACATGCTAGTGGGTTTCTTTCGTGTCTAACAGTACAGTGGACCCCCGGTTAACGATATTTTTTCATTCCAGAAGTATGTTCAGGTGCCAGTACTGACCGAATTTGTTCCCATAAGGAATATTGTGAAGTAGATTAGTCCATTTCAGACCCCCAAACATACATTACCTGTATACTGCAGAAAAGAGAATGAAATTTGTAAGCCTTCTTAACTTAACATATTCTAGAGAGATCTTGTATGCTTCTGTATTAGCATTTCCATGCACTGGTGTGGGTTAAGGATGCTCAGGACTATTTCCCAGGGAACATATAATTGTTCTGAGTTTATTTTGTTTTGGTTAGTTCTTTGATAGTTGAATTTAAATTTACTGAATGTCCCTTTATGATGGCTATTTCTTAAGTTCTCTGTGCATATATTTGTTTGTCTAAGAGTGTGATATGTTTCATTTTGCAAACCTTTATTTTAAAATCTGGGGATAATACAAATGTTAATGCACAAGCTTAGCTTTACAAGAGCATGGTTTGTATTTTCTAAGAGTTCCAGCATTAAAACTTGTTGCGTATGATCTAAATATGGTACTGGGACCTCTATATAAAAGTAAATTGAGTGTTAGTTATGGCTTCTTGCATAGAGATCTTTTAAATGTGTATGATCCTCTTTGTGAATGTGACAAGACAAGTATCGTAAGTATGAGCCCATACCATCTCATTTATTTCATATTGTTACATTCAAAAAAAAAAAATTTCTCTCTCAACAAGTCGGCTGTCTCCCACCAAGGCAGGGTGACCCAAAAAGAAAGAAAAACTCCCCAAAAAGAAAATATTTTCATCATCATTCAACACTTTCACCTCACTCACTGTTTTTCCAGAGGTGCCCAGATGCAACAGTTTAGAAGCATATAAAAAGATACACAACATATCCCTCCAAACTGCCAATATCCCAAACCCCTCCTTTAAAGTGCAGGCATTGTACTTCCCATTTCCAGTACTCAAGTCCGGCTATATAAAACTAACCGGTTTCCTTGAATCCCTTCACTAAATATTACCCTGCTCACACACATACAGCTCATCAGGTCCATTCACTCCTATCTAACACGCTCACGCACGCTTGCTAGAAGTCCAAGCCCCTCTTCCACAAAACCTCCTTTACCTCCTCCCTCCAACCTTTTCAAGGATGACCCCTACCCCACCTTCCTTTCCCTACAGATTTATATGCTCTCCATGTCATTCTACTTTGATCCATTCTCTCTAAATGACCACACCACCTCAGCAACCCCTCTTCAGCCCTCTGACTAATACTTTTATTAACTCCACACCTTGTCCTAATTTCCACACTCTGAATTTTCTACATAATATTTACACCACACATTGCCCTTAGATAGGACATCTCCACTGCCTCCAACCGCCTCCTCACTGCAGCATTCACAACCCAAACTTCACACCCATATTAGAGTGTTGGTACCACCATACTTTCAAACATTCCCTTCTTTGCTTCCATAGATAACGTTTTTTGTCTCCACATATACCTCAACGCACCACTCACCTTTTTTCCTTCATGAATTCTATGATTAACCTCATCCTTCATAAATCCATCCGCTGACACATCAACTCCCAAATACTATCTAAAGATATTCACTTCTTCCATACTCCCTCTCTCCAATATGATATCCAATTTTTCTTTATCTAAATCATTTGATACCCTCATCACCTTACTAAAAAGAATAAGAAGAAGAAAATTGTCAAAGTGGGAAGTCTGAATGTGCGTGGATGTTGTGCAGATGATAAGAAAGAGATGATTGTGGATGTTATGAATGAGAAGAAGCTGGATGTCCTGGCTTTAAGTGAAACAAAGCTGAAGGGGGTGGGAGAGTTTCAGTGGAGAGGAATAAATGGGATTAGGTCAGGGGTTTCAAATAGAGTTAGAGCTAAAGAAGGAGTAGCAATAATGTTGAAGGATAAGCTATGGCAGGAAAAGAGGGACTATAAATGTATTAATTCAAGGATTATGTGGAGTAAAATAAAGATTGGATGTGAAAAGTGGGTTATAATAAGCGTGTATGCACCTGGAGAAGAGAGAAGTGTAGAGGAGAGAGAGAGATTTTGGGAAATGTTGAGTGAATGCGTGGGGATTTTGAATCAAGTGTGAGAGTAATGGTGGTTGGGGATTTTGATGCTAAAGTGGGTAAAAATGTTATGGAGGGAGTAGTAGGTAAATTTGGGGTGCCAGGGGTAAATGTAAATGGGGAGCCTTTAATTGAGCTATGTGTAGAAAGAAATTTGGTAATAAGTAATACATATTTTATGAAAAAGAGGATAAATAAATATACAAGGTAGATGAGTAGCACGTAATGAAAGTAGTTTATTAGATTATGTATTGGTGGATAAAAGGTTGATGGGTAGGCTCCAGGATGTACATGTTTATAGAGGGGCAACTGATATATCGGATCATTATTTAGTTGTAGCTACAGTTTAGAGTAAGAGGTAGATGGAAAAGAGGAAGGTGGCAACAACAAGTAAGAGGGAGGTGAAAGTGTATAAACTAAGGGAGGAGGAAGTTCGGGTGAGATATAAGCGACTATTGGCAGAAAGGTGGGCTAGTGCAAAGATGAGTAGTGGGGGGGTTGAAGAGGGTTGGAATAGTTTTAAAAATGCAGTATTAGAATGTGGGGCAGAAGTTTGTGGTTATAGGAGGGTGGGGGCAGGAGGAAAGAGGAGTGATTGGTGGAATGATGAAGTAAAGGGTGTGATAAAAGAGAAAAAGGTAGCTTATGAGAGGTTTTTTACAAAGCAGAAGTGTTATAAGAAGAGCAGAGTATATGGAGAGTAAAAGAAAGGTAAAGAGAGTGGTGAGAGAGTGCAAAAGGAGAGCAGATGAAAGAGTGGGAGAGGCACTGTCAAGAAATTTTAATGAAAATAAGAAAAAATTTTGGAGTGAGTTAAACAAGTTAAGAAAGCCTAGGGAAAATATGGATTTGTCAGTTAAAAACAGAGTAGGGGAGTTAGTAGATGGGGAGATGGAGGTATTGGGTAGATGGCGAGAATATTTTGAGGAACTTTTAAATGTTAAGGAAGAAACAGAGGCAGTAATTTCATGCACTGGTCAGGGAGGTATACCATCTTTTAGGAGTGAAGAAGAGCAGAATGTAAGTGTGGGGGAGGTACGTGAGGCATTACGTAAAATGAAAGGGGGTAAAGCAGCTGGAACTGATGGGATCATGACAGAAATGTTAAAAGCAGGGGGGATATAGTGTTGGAGTGGTTGGTACTTTTGTTTAATAAATGTATGAAAGAGGGGAAGGTACCTAGGGATTGGCAGAGAGCATGTATAGTCCCTTTATATAAAGGGAAAGGAGACAAAAGAGACTGTAAAAATTATAGAGGAATAAGCTTACTGAGTATACCAGGAAAAGTGTACGGTAGGGTTATAATTGAAAGAATTAGAGGTAAGACAGAATGTAGGATTGCGGATGAGCAAGGAGGTTTTAGAGTGGGTAGGGATGTGTAGATCAGGTGTTTACATTGAAGCATATATGTGAACAGTATTTAGATAAAGATAGGGAAGTTTTTATTGCATTTATGGATTTAGAAAAGGCATATGATAGAGTGGATAGAGGAGCAATGTGGCAGATGTTGCAAGTATATGGAATAGGTGGTAAGTTATTAAATGCTGTAAAGAGTTTTTATGAGGATAGTGAGGCTCAGGTTAGGGTGTGTAGAAGAGAGGGAGACTACTTCCCGGTAAAAGTAGGTCTTAGACAGGGATGTGTAATGTCACCATGGTTGTTTAATATATTTATAGATGGGGTTGTAAAGGAAGTAAATGCTAGGGTGTTTGGGAGAGGGGTGGGATTAAATTATGGGAATCAAATTCAAAATGGGAATTGACACAGTTACTTTTTGCTGATGATACTGTGCTTATGGGAGATTCTAAAGAAAAATTGCAAAGGTTAGTGGATGAGTTTGGGAATGTGTGTAAAGGTAGAAAGTTGAAAGTGAACATAGAAAAGAGTAAGGTGATGAGGGTGTCAAATGATTTAGATAAAGAAAAATTGGATATCAAATTGGGGAGGAGGAGTATGGAAGAAGTGAATGTTTTCAGATACTTGGGAGTTGACGTGTCGGCGGATGGATTTATGAAGGATGAGGTTAATCATAGAATTGATGAGGGAAAAAAGGTGAGTGGTGCGTTGAGGTATATGTGGAGTCAAAAAACGTTATCTATGGAGGCAAAGAAAGGAATGTATGAAAGTATAGTAGTACCAACACTCTTATATGGGTGTGAAGCTTGGGTGGTAAATGCAGCAGCGAGGAGACGGTTGGAGGCAGCGGAGATGTCCTGTTTAAGGGCAATGTGTGGTGTAAATATTATGCAGAAAATTCGGAGTGTGGAAATTAGGAGAAGGTGTGGAGTTAATAAAAGTATTAGTCAGAGGGCAGAAGAGGGGTTGTTGAGGTGGTTTGGTCATTTAGAGAGAATGGATCACAGTAGAATGACATGGAAAGCATATAAATCTATAGGGGAAGGAAGGCGGGGTAGGGGTCGTCCTCGAAAGGGTTGGAGAGAGGGGGTAAAGGAGGTTTTGTGGGTAAGGTGCTTGGACTTCCAGCAAGCGTGCGTGAGCGTGTTAGATAGGAGTGAATGGAGACGAATGGTACTTGGGACCTGACGATCTGTTGGAGTGTGAGCAGGGTAATATTTAGTGAAGGGATTCAGGGAAACCGGTTATTTTCATATAGTCGGACTTGAGTCCTGGAAATGGGAAGTACAATGCCTGCACTTTAAAGGAGGGGTTTGGGATATTGGCAGTTTGGAGGGATATGTTGTGTATCTTTATATGTGTATGCTTCTAGACTGTTGTATTCTGAGCACCTCTGCAAAAACAGTGATAATGTGCGAGTATGGTGAAAGTGTTGAATGATGATGAAAGTATTTTCTTTTTGGGGATTTTCTTTCTTTTTTGGGTCACCCTGCCTAGGTGGGAGACGGCCGACTTGTTGAAAAAAAAAAAAAAAAAAAAAAAAAAAATCACCTTACTTTTATCTATGTTCACTTTCAACTTTCCACCTTTACACACATAACACTCAAAAGTATTGTAGAATATTGGTTTTTATTTTGCTGAGGTTTCTTTGTCAGTTATGTAATACAGCTTTATTTTCCTTAGCAAGTTTTGTAGTTATGTCAAAATTTAGGTTACTTTTGAGTTGTGCAGCTGATTATTATGAAAGATTTTCTGTCAATCTTGAGATACTACTTCATTTAAGAATTTAACTTTGAGAGTCTGCCTGGAGTGTGTTCCAGGGGTGAACCCCCCTGCAGCCCAGTCCATGACCAGACCTCCCTGTGGCCTGGGCCCGGTGGCCAGGAGGCCTGGCTGTTACTGCTGGCCGAACATAAACTAGCATATGAACCACAGCCCGGCTAGTCAGGTACCGACTTTAGGTGCCTGTCCAGCTCCCTCCTGAAGACAGCTAGGGTCATGAATTATAAATTATTACCAGACTACTATATTTCTTTCTCAGGCAATGTCTTCGTTTGATTGAATCAGAAAATGAGGACATCAAAAGAGAGAAGGATCTCATCTCAGCACTTCAAATGCTGCCAGAATTTGGTATCCATAAACTTCCTCTCCAAGGTACATGTACAAAAAAATTGTTAGGTAAATCTACACAGATGCACTAATGTGACATTTTATTATGGCAATATGTTCCATGGCTTGGTAGACAACACTCTTATCTCACACACTGAGTGTCTGTGGTTTGATCCCCAGCTGGGTAGAAACATTGGGTGTGTTTCCTTGCATCTGCTGTCTCTGTTCACCTAGCAGTAAGTAGGTATCTGGGTGTTAGCCAACTGGTGTGGGTGGCATCCTGGGGGACAAGATTGAAGGACTTCAATGGAAATAAGACAGGAAGTCCTCGATGATGCACTGACTTTCTTGGGTTATCCTGGGTGGCTAACCCTCTGGATTAAAAATCCCAACAAAATCTTAACGTTTTGCTTGACAAAGGTCCTGGAGAGTGAAACGTTGTCACAATAAAATGTCACGTTAGTTTCATCTGTGTCCTTTTAGCTAACGTTTTGTTGGTAATTCTACCAATATTATTGTTAAAGAAGTTGTGTTATAATCCATTATTTTAATTGAAGCTGGTGAAGGGCTCTTGATCCAAGGAATGGAAACTGTCCTCCCTTCTTTGGATCAAAAATGATTACCTTCCATTTCTCAGGCACTGTATGACCCTTATGGGTTTAATGCTCCCCCATTGAATATGATAAGTAAGTTATTATAGTGTGTGTGTTAATAAATAAATAAATTTGAAGACAGTTTTGTTGATAGCTCAGTATACCATATTCCTCTCTGTTATAAGTGTAACACTTTTTTAATTTTGTACCAAAAATTGTGCTCTGGAAAGTCTTACCATTTGTGTATGTCCAGTTCGGCTGTGTGAAGATCGCCTAGGCCTAATAGAGGAAGGCTTAAATGTGAAGAAGGGAAGTTATCGCCATGGTTCTCGCCTGGTGCAACTTGCCACCTTGTTACGAGTTTGTGGAACAGATACTCGAATGAGGCAAGCAAAGGTCCTCACCCTTGTCGCTCAGGCAGCTCTTAAGGTAAGGAGATGTGGGCCTAGCCTTTCCATTATTTGTGTTATTGTATGTATGTATTTTTTTTAACCTCCCATTCCCCATGGCCATCTTGGCACCACCATTGTAGGGTGACCCCCAAAAAAATAGGAAACTCATTCACCCTCATTCATTCAGCAAATGTCTTTCCAGATATTCACAAACATCATAATTCAAAGGATTCTCCAAATTGGAAGAGCCATATTCCTCTTTCAGAGCATTGCCACTGTTTTTTTCCACCTCCAGCACTCAAGTCCAGGTAACCTGTATTGCTAAATTTACCCTTCTCCAATCTTTCCTGGCATGACCCCTACTCTCTAATTCCTTCCACCCCAGATTTACACACCCTTATGGTCATCCTATTCTGCTCCATCCTCTTAATGTCCAAATTTTTTTTTGTGGGATTATATCAGTCTTGATCACTTTTGAGATATATTTTGACATGCTCCCTTCAATAGGGGAACCTTAATACTTATCAAGGGCTCTTGATCCAAGGAATTGGGTGCTACTTTTCCCTTCATTGAATGAAGTCTGATTATCTTCTGTTCCCTGGGGCTGGGAATTGGGAGATAAATTTAGTAGGATAACTGTTATGTTCGGTTAGCCGGACTTGGAGTCCTGGAAATGGGAAGTACAGTGCCTTCACTTTAAAGGAGGGGTCTGGGATATTAGCAGTTTGGAGGGACGTCTAAGCTGTCATATCTGAGTGCCTCTGCAAATACAGCGATTATGTATGAGTGATGGTGAAAGTGTTGAATGATGATGCGGACAGTTTTTTCTTTCTTTTTGGGTTTTTCTTTCTTTTTGGGTCACCCTGTCTCGGTGGGAAATGACTGACGTGTTAAAAAAGAAAATTATGTAGGGAATATTAGCATATTACAAGGATTTAATATGTAAGAAAGGTCTGTGCACACACTGCATAGTAATGCCCTAGTAACTGCTTGCATGTGGGACCTCACGTATTTGTCATAGACGAATCCAGAATACGTATTTTAAAACATGATACATATCAGCTCTTTTTCAGAGCCTTTTTATTTGTATGTCTCATAACAATAAAAAGGCTTTCAAATGAGCTAATGTAGGTAACAGCTCTTAGCCTGTAAATAAAGTTAGGAGCCTTAACCTAACTTTGTGAAATACTGTGTAAAAAAAAAAAAATTTTTTTTTTTTCTTTTTGAATAACTCTTACTCCTAATCTTCATGGAATTATTTGTGGTTAATGTAAGCAGCATTTGGTAGTGAACTTTGTAAATGATAGTTGTTGCCATACAGTACCAGAATAGCACTGTACTTTACAGGTAATATATTGGTCACATCGGTCATGGAAGTTGAGATGCTGGTAAGGCTTGACATTTTGCTTAGTGAGAAAAACTGGCTAATTAATATATAATTTTACTTGTACTGCACTTATATTTTTAGTGTACTGGAAAATAAGGTAAATTACACAAACATCTGCTGCTTTCTTTTGCAAAAAACAAACAAATGTATGTATGTGTGTGTGTGTGTGTGTGTGTATGTGGGTGTATGTGTGTGTATGTGTGTGTATGTGCATGTGTGTGTATGTGTGTGTGTGTGTGTGTGTGTGTGTGTGTGTGTGTGTGTGTGTGTGTGTGTGTGTGTGTGTGTGTGTGTGTACGTGTACGTACTCACCTAGTTGTACTCACCTAGTTGAGGTTGCAGGGGCCGAGTCCAAGCTCCTGGCCCCGCCAGGTGTGTGTGTGTGTGTGCACTCACCTATTTGTGCTCACCTATTTGTGGTTGCAGGGGTCGAGTCATAGCTCCTGGCCCTACCTCTTCACTGATTGCTACTGGATCCTCCCTCTCCCTGCTCTATGAGCTTTATCAAACTTTATTTTAAAACTATGTATGGTTCCCGCCTCCACTACGTCACTTTCTAGGCTATTCTGCTGCCTGACAACTCTGTGACTGAAGAAATACTTCCTGACATCCCTTTGACTCATCTGAGTCTTCAACTTCCAATTGTGTGTGCGTGTGTGTATATGTATTCACCTAATTGTGGTTGCAGGGGTTGAGACTCAACTCCTGGCCCTGCCCCTTCACTGATCACTACTAAGTCCTCTCTCTCTGCTCCCTGAGCTTTGTCATACCCCGTTTTAAAGCTATGTATGACTCCTGCCTCCACTACATCACTTGCTAGACTATTCCACTTCCTGACAACTCTATGACTGAAGAAATACTTCCTAACATCCCTGTGACTTGTCTGAGTCTTCAGCTTCCAATTGTGACCCCTCTCTGGAACATCCTGTCTCTGTCCACCTTATCTATTCCACACAGTATTTTGTATGTTATCATGTCTCCCCTGACCCTCGTGTCTTCCAGTGTCGTCAGGCCGATTTCCCTCAACCTTTCTTTGTAGGACATTTCCCTGAGCTCCGGGACTAACTTTGTTGCAAACCTTTGCACTTTCTCTAATTTCTTAATGTGCTTGACCAGGTGTGGGTTCCAAACTGGTGCTGCATACTCCAGTATGGGCGTGACGTACACAGTGTACAGTGTCTTGAACGATTCCTTACTAAGGTATCGGAACACTTTTCTCAGGTTTGCCAGGCACCCATATGCTGCAGCAGTTATCTGATTGATGTGTGCTTCTGGAGATGTGCTCGGTGTTATGCTCACCCCAAGATCTTTCTCCTTGAGTGAGGTTTGCAGTCTTTGGCCACCTAGCCTATACTCTGTCTATGGTCTTCTTTGCCTTTCCCAATCTTCATGACTTTACATTTGGCGGGGTCGAATTCGAGAAGCCAGTTGCTGGACCACGTGTTCAGCCTGTCCAGGTCTCTCTGTAGTCCTGTCTGTCCTGTGTATGTATGTGTGTGTGTGTGTGTGTGTGTGTGTGTGTGTGTGTGTGTGTGTGTGTGTGAAAACACATATATACTGTGTGATTAATATATATCTGCATTAGTTGAGCTACTCAATATTCTATTAGGCCTGAAAAATCTTACTGTTGAATATGCACGAGTCATCTTGATGTGAGCATAAAAAAAAAATCTTAATTCATTGCTGTTTTTTATCCTCTTAAGCCAGGAAAATCTAAATTAAAAGTGAAAAGCCAAAATAAGCATTGTATAACAAATTTGATCTACAGGGCCAGGCTGCAAGAATAGAAAAACTCTTGAATGCCTTCAAGGTATATGATTTTTATATCACCATCAGAATCAAATGTTTTTTCATAAAATTGTGCTTTTTTGTTTTTCTTAAGAGGATGCAAATAGCAAAGTTACTGATAACAGTAATGTGGGAAAACAGTGTGCTGTAACATTACACATGTAGTAACAAAGAACAGCAGAGTGAAGACAGCATCTATAAATATTCACTAACAAGGCAACAAATGAACAGTTGATTAGCACATTAACAACTCACAGGCTTATAGAGTTCAACATCACTGAAAGTTTGTAATTTTCCAGATACATGCTTTAGAATACCTGTGGTTGGTTGCAGTCACTACTGTCACTACATTCAATATGCCTAGTACAATAATCAACGCGACCTGCACGTTGAAATTTCTTAAGAGTAATACTGTCTTTTGCTCAAATTTCAGTATGTGCCAAAAGGTAACATGTGAAGACATCACAATATTCCTGTTCAAGCCTTTTCCATTTTAGCTTCTTGGAACAAGAAATAAGAACTTCACTTGTGTGCAACAGGAGCCAGATTATTTACTACCAGACACTGTTTACACATAATTTCCTGATTTACCACTGAGTTTCTGTTACAGAGAAAATTCTTAATGTCTGTTTGGTTTTTCATTTTTCACAGTATCCTTGATAGAAGCAGCGTGTCTCATACTCCACATATTGCATCTTCTTGTTTAACTTTGACATCATTATAAAATCTCATAGTGATTTGACGCCAGTCGAGGACTGGAGATGTCTCTACTTTTGTGCAGTGGTACACTTTGTGTATGCTTTCTGCACTTAATTTTTCACCCCATATATTTACTTCACTAATTTCCCCAACAAACTGTGATGTAGGATCAAAATCTGTCAAGTCAGGAAGCAGTGTCTGACCCATGATTGTTAGACCACCTCCAGGAAATGTTATTTCATTTGGCAGCACATTAATCAGTGTACCAGACAGTTCTCCATTGATGTATATTGCAGCTTCATGATCTTTGCTGCTCCATGTGAAGACAATGTGGTACCACTGGTTTGCTGTTAAGTCAAATGGCAATATCTTGAAGTGAAAGTTTGCTTTGTTTCCCTCTTTATTTTTTTCTGGAACTTGGGGTACTGTATTTTGGTTATGGTTTGATTCTTCAGTGAAGATTCTGTCCTCTATTTGTGGTTCTGTCTGCTGTTCATGCCCCCATTCTTTTGCTGCTTCTTGGGTGTTGATGTAATGCACTGGATGAGGTAATAGTCCCTGATCAGTAAGTTTCTGTGATGCAGCATTGAACACAATATCTTCTAGCTTATCTTGGTCCTGGTGGTGGCTTGCTGACTGACGCAGTGCACCACCGTAAGTAATAGGACGAGGTATGTCCTTTGGAGATATGTATTGTGGGGGCAGTTGCTCATGAAACAAATGTGAGGACTCTTGATAGTGTGACACAGGGTGGGCAGACTCTTGAGACACAAGCACTCCAGCTGGCTGATAAAGCTCATCTAATGAGAAGTCATATGCATCATCCCCCTTTGCAGGGTAATAGGGAATGTCATCTTCGTCAATTTGAAATATGTCAAATGGAAGTGTATGTTGCTCAGGCACATCCTTAATATTTACTTCAGGCTCTGCTATTAAACTGAAATCTGAACTATCCTGGACATTGGGTTTTGGGTTCCTTGTAGATTCACCCTGTTGTAGTGCAGTTGGAATGTTATTTATCTTGGGTAGTAAAGGCAGATCACTAGATGCTGATGCTTTGGGAGTATCATTGTGTTTTTGTACACTGTTAGGTATAACTGGCTTTTGAATTAATGACAGATTGCTTGGCAATAAAAATGGAAGATGTTCTGGAGTAAGAAAAACATTGCTGGGTGCTGGGACAGCATGCTGGCTCAGTGACTCTGGCATGGCTGCAGTGGGGTCTGATTTAACATTAAAGGGTATAGTAGCCTCAGCATTAGTGTCTGGCTGTAACAAATTGGGAATTTTCTTAGATTTTTCATCACTGCTGGATTCCTTTATAAATGGCAAGTTCAAGTATATTGTATCATGGGTTGCTTGGAAAGAGGTTGGACTGTGCACTACTGGAGGGATCTCTTTCATCACTGCACTCTCTGTGTATTGATTTTGTTTCTCAGTGACTGTTTCCAATGCAACCTGTGGCTTAACATAGCTGGGAGCTTGTGTTTTTTCACTCTTTATAGCTGTGATCTTTCTGCGAGTGGAAATTTCAGAGGTATCCTCTTCTATGGGTATATCACTGCGGGATGGTGTTGGTGGCAAAGGGTCTTCGGTGGGCACTAATACTGCTTCTTCTTCTTTAAGAACTGCTGGAGCAATAGTCTCTTGAAAGCTGGCTTCAGGCTTAATTGAATAATGAATAGAAAATCTGTTGTCTTGAGCTGGTAAATTGTTTCCTCCTAAGTAGTTCTCATTTGTTTCCTCTTCATGGGTATTGACATTTGAACTGACATGGGTATTGACATTTGAACTATGGCCATCAGTAGCTTGTTTTGACTTTGAAAATGTTCCTGCTTCCTGTGCCTGGTAGTACTGATACATAGCATTAAATGCTTCTGGATCACTGATGGGAATGGAATACACTATGGCAGTGTCACCATCTTTAATAGGGGGAACACCTTGCATGACACGGTGAAACTCATCCATGTGGTGGGGGGTGATGCTCATTGATCTGTGTTTATTGCCTACGTTTTGTGCTTCTACAGGTTTACTTGACCACTTGTCTCGGTAGTTCTGTCCCTTATTTGATTTGTCATCTTCTGCAGTAGACCAAATGGAAACCTTTGACTTTTGTCCAGTAATTTGAGGCTTATCTGTTACCTGCTCTTGTTGAGTGAAGTAAACTGTTGGTACTGGACGAGGTTGTCTTGTGGTTGGGATACGTGTTGTATGCACATGTGGAGGAGCTCTAGTGGTATGGAAAGTGGTGGGAGTAGTGGTGGTGGTAGTGGTGGTGGTAGTGGTGGTGGTGGTTGGGGTAGTAGTTGTGGTTTTAGGTCTTGTGGAGGTAGGCAGAGAATGTCTTGAAGCATTTGGTCCCTTGATTAGCTTCCAAAGAGGCATCCTTGTTGTACGACGCGATGGTGACCGAGTAAATGATGCTGTGCGAGTTCGTGATTTTGGTACAGTTGTAGTAGGTGGGGCAGTGAACCGACTGGCAGTGAAGCGTTTATTGTTCAGAGGCAAGATAGTTATGGGAAGTGAAGCTGTAGTTGTTATAGGTCTTCTGGTGGTTACAATTGCAGATGTTGATGGTTGACTGGTGGTTGTAGATGTAGTTGTTGAGGGTCTTCTAGTAAATGTAGTTGTATATTCTGTTGTAGTTGGCTTTCTTGTTGGCACATGACGTTGAGCAGTAACTACTGAGAAGTTTGGTGTTCTTTTGGAATTTGGATGAGGGGTTGTGGGTTGAGATGGCCTGGTGGTTACCTTTCTTATGGGAGCTTGTGGTCCTGCAAGGGTTACTGTTGGAGGAGGCTGTCGTGATTCTTGAGTGATAGTTAATGATGGATCTTTAACAAAGTTTGGAGTCCAACTGTTTGGACTGAGCTTAACTTCTGTCACTTGAGATGTCCAGCTACCTGTATTGCCTGGATTAAAATTTTCAGAAACAAGATCCTTCACTGGGATGTTTTCCACTGTGGCCTTTGGTTTGGTGGTGTCCTCATGTGTTTCCTTTTTTTGTTGCCAGATGGGAGACCATTCATTAGGTGACTGAGGTATTGAGTGCTTTGGTGCTGCTGGTACATTCCAATTGAAGAAAACAAAGTCGTCATCCCCTGATGGTTCAGTTATAATCCGTGGTTCAGGTTCGGCCAGGTGGTGGTCAAATGGATCACTCTCCTGCATTGTTAGTTCATATGGGACATTAGTCCAGTCATTGTAGGACTCTGAACGGGAGAGTCCACCACGGACTGGCAACAGATGAAGGCCAGCACCCAGTCCAGAAGGTGAAGCCTCCAGATCTGCGACACCCATCTGGTCAACATCAACGAATGTGTATGGTGTCCATGTGTCCTGCGAGCGTCCCTTGCGGGAATCTGCTAGGATGTCCACAATGTCGCCAAGTCCAGTACTATAATCTACTGCATCACGTCTCACTCTCTGCGGACTTTCTGGTTGTGCAAGTGCCCACTGTGTACGTGGATGACGATCTACTTGATCTAGGTGGTATCGTGGCACTGATGGTGGCCCTCCCCACAAAACCCCAAGACCATCATGTCTGAGAAAGAATGCTACTTGGTGGCTAGCATCTGGGGCCACAACAGTAAGGATTGGAGCAACGCCATCGGGAAATGTGGTGACGTTGACCCAGGCAGAGAGGGTAAGGTCAGAGAAGGATGGCGAGGGGCTCATAAGGCGAGTATACCCGCCGTCACCCAACACCAGACGGTAGCTAGAAGGGGCGATGTTTGTAACTGCTCCGACTCCAGCACACACAGTGAACACAGCGAACCTGTAAAAGTTGTCAATTAAAATTTTTATCATATTGTGATAAAGAAAAATATTCACTTAAAAATTAAATGACTTACACTATTTATGTTTGCATCAAAATCAGAAGCGAGGACATCATGAATGTTAATGAACAGTGAATGAATTAATTAAGATTTATAAATGAAAACACATACTGCAGCTTAATTAGCACATTCCAGTATGGGTATTGTATAACAAGTTTAATAAATTTTACAAAAAACGACTGGTGTCAAATCATGAATATTAACTTCTAGTAAGGTGACAAGCATCTTCGTGAGTAATTTGTACTCAAGGTCTGTCAGGTGCCAGACATCTTAGGGACTGTAACTTGCAGATGTGGCATGCAATATTTTCTTATATAGAATTAGAATTGTAGTATATCTTATTTAAAATTTTTGCAGAGATGAATTTGCTTGTTATTCCATATTGATGACAGTAATTGATGGAAATGGCTGGACTGTGTAGCTTCTACTCTGAATCCACTTACACATTAATTATCAAGAATACTAAAATTTCTAAGAAGAAATAAAATTCAGAGTACTATATATACAGCAAGAGATACCTTTATGTGTATATCCACTTAGAGTTACACACCTCTCAGTGTACATGCAGGGTTACACTCCTCTCTGTGTCTAAATGCACTAAGAGTTACACACGTTTTGGTGTATATACCCTCTGCAGACTTGTCCAGGATCTCCTGTCATTAGAGGAATAGTGTATTTAATATGACCCTGACTTGGCTTCCTGTGTTAATGACCAGTTTGGTGACACTGTGGGTACACCGGTGTAGGTTAAGGTGAAAGTCTGTGCTGTTGCCAGCCTGCTGGCCCACATAGCTGCCATCTTGGGTCCCACTACTGATGCTCCACCTCGCTATAATGGACAGCCAGTTGTCAGTCAGAAGTCATTGCTTGCCAGTCATTGGGGATATTACACACAATTGTTAATCCTTAGTCTATCAAAATTTAGATATCATCAAGTGGTAGCTTATAATAATGTTAATTACAATATTTGTTATTGCAAATTATGTAAATAACATTTGTTTATAGGCTGCCACTTGATTTCTGGATTCTATTATGGGTCGGCTAGTTTATTAAATAACCTTCTTGTATGATAGACCATATTAAGATATGGTAATACTGTATACCCATTGTTATGAAACTCCAGACCTGCTACTGAGGGCAAACTTCAGTTTACCTGTTGTTGATTCCAGGGTTCATGGCCTCCTTGAACCCTGGTCCCTGACCAGGCCTACTGGTTGATAGCTTGATCACTCAGACTGTTGGTACTTGCATCATGCATTTTGACATATGGAAAAACAGACTATTTAGCCAGGATCTGACTTGAGGAACTTGAAGATTATGATCTTGGTCATTGCCTTGGTCCACACTTGCTGAGGCATCTCATGAACAGGTCTTCCCTCACCATAGTGGCTACTGCCAAGGAAGACTAAGTGCTCCCTCTTTGCTTTTACCATGCATCGAGACCTGTATGTTCCTTGATTCTGCTTGCCAGAAAGTTGAGCTTACCCTTGGAGTTACAGTTTATTGGTTGGAAACATGGGCTGTATCATCATGAGGATACCCCTGGAGTTGCAGTTTATTGGTTGGAACCATGGGCTGTATCATCATGAGGATACCCCTGGAGTTACAGTTTATTGGTTGGAAACATGGGCTGTATCATCATGAGGATGGCTGCCCTGTTTCACATTGTGAGGCTTACTAGGACACATACTCTACCATGTGTTGTTAGTGCCCCATTTATTAAAAAATGCATCATCATTAGCACTTTTAGGGAATATTTATTATTATTGTCTGGCAAAAGTCAAGTGGTGTACCACAAAACTCTGTACTGGAGTCTTTAATATTCATGGATGATTTTTTATATTGGAGTAAACAAAACCTAAGTAAATTTGTAGATATTATTTTTTTTTTGTAACAGATTGGCCATTTCCCACCAAGGCAAAATGACCCCAAAAGAAAAAGGAAGCATTATCACTCACTCCATCAGTGTCTTGCCAGAGGCTTGCCAATACTGTAAATTCAAAGGAAGACTCTCAGAAACAAGAGAACCACAAGTGTGGACAGAGAAGTGACATATGCAGTTAATTATGAAGAAATGTTAGCTTGGGAAAATGAACCAGCACTTGATATCAACTCACTAATGAAGAATCTGTAAATACTATTACAAAGAGATCTGGGAATGATAATTATTAAATGTCAGTTTCTAAGGCAGCAGTATATTAACATACATAAAGTCAGTATGGCAGAGTACTCGATTATAAAGTGTGTATGATACAGATAAGTTGATGAGTAAGCAACACGTACTAAGATACTTAAGTTTTGTATGTGTCTCCTACTTATCAAAGTACTCTATTGTATATACATATTTAGAAGTTACAGGCATACAGATATTATCCTAGACCTTTATTTTACTCTTGTGAGTTACCTTGTTACTCTGAAAAATACAGTGGAACCTCAGATTTCGTTTGCCCTGGTTTTCGTCAAATTCGGTTTTCGATGACTTTTTTTTTGTCAAAATTTTGTCCCAGTTTTCATTCATGACCTTGGTTTTTGTTGGTCTGCCATAACGAACGTGTCCACCTACCCGCGCCCACACAAAGCATCCCACACGCTCTGAATCAGTCTGGCTTTGTTTCTCGTCAAGTAAGCATTACCCTGTGCTGTCATCTGAAACATTTCATAATAATCCATTGTTTTTTGTGCTTGTTTATTGAGTGCAACTGCTAAATAAGCCACCATGGAGGCCAAAGAAACTTCCGAGTGCCAGCCTTTTGATAAAGAAGGCAAGAAACATGATAGAGTTCAAGAAAGAACTCGTAGCAAAGTATGGGGTTGAATGTGAGTGGCCAGGATGTGGAAGAATTGGCGGACAACCACAGGGAAGAGCTAACCACTGAAGAGCAGCAACACCTTCAACTGGAACAGCAACAGACAGCAGCTGAGGAAATTGCTTCAGAGGAGGAAGAAGAGAGATGGGAGAATGTGCCTTGTTCAGTGATTAAGGACATGTGTGCAAAGTGGAGTGAGTTGCAAAGTTTTGTGGAGGAATATCATCCTAACAAAGCTGCTGCAAGCTGTGTCTGCAACATGTTCAATGACAATGCCTTGTCCCATTTTAGGCAAATAATAAAGAGACGCCAGAAACAGACCTCTCTGGACAGATTTTTTGTGCGACAGGGGTTCAGTGCCAGTAAAAGACAAAGAAGGGAAGTAACCCTAAATAGGGACTTGATACCTAAAGTCCTTATGGAGGGGGATTCCACTCCATAAGTACTTCAGGTATAACTTCTCCTGCCTCTCCCCTCCTCACGTCTTCCATACGCCAACAAGAGTCTTCATTAAAGGTAAAAGTGATATTAAATGTTCATTTATCCATTTCATTAGTTTTTATATTTATTTCTCATTGTTTTCTGTATGTAAAACTATAGTTATTCTGTATAAAATGTATTTTTTGTTAATATTTTTGGGTGCCTGGAACCGATTAATTGGATTTACATATTTCTGTGGAATATGCTTCATTTTCCATTCAAATTCGGGTTTTGTCAGACTTTATGGAACAATTAATGGAAAACTGAGTTCACTGTACAACTGAATACAAATTTCATCTACATTGGAAGTTTTTTATGATGTTTTGGAACATTAAATTAAATGGTACAAAATGGTGAGGTCAGTGATCAGTGCATTGAATAATAAAATAGTAAAAATATAAAGGGTCTGGAGGTGGGAAGTACATGACTTGCAAGCTTAAGAGGTGGTTATGTTGAGTTCTGTGGGAAGTACAGTACTGCAAAAAGAAGGGTGGTTATGTGCAGTTTGGTGGAAGTACAGTGACTGCAAGCTAAAGAAGGGTTATTTGAATGGGAAGTACAGTGATGCAAGCTAAAGGAAGGGTGGTTATGTGCAGTTTGGTGGGAAGTACAGTGACTGCAAGCTAAAGGAAGGGTGGTTATGTTGCAGTTCTGGTGGGAAGTACAGTGACTGCAAGCTAAAGGAAGGGTGGTTATGTTGCAGTTCTGGTGGGAAGTACAGTGACTGCAAGCTAAAGGAAGGGTGGTTATGTTGCAGTTCTGGTGGGAAGTACAGTACCTGCACTCTGGTAAGGATGTTGTGGTTAGGAGGGTCAACTGAACTATAATGTCAGAATGCATCTGGCAAGAAAACAATTGAATGAATGATAGTCATAGTGTTACCTATTTTTTGGATCACTCTGCTGTGATGAGAGATGACTGGTGTGTTAAAAAATGCTGACAATACTTAATCAAAGTTGAACTCTTAACATTAAATTTAAATTTGAAAAAAAAAAAAATCAGTGAACATTGATTCAGTAATAGCATTGAAGATGCATAAAACAAATTACCAAGAAACTTTCTTAAAGCTTTTAAAAGTTGTTTAGATGAGGGATGTTTTAAAAACACTTTAGATAAGGGAAAATAATTAGGAAGAATGAGTGTGAGGAAGACAGTATGCATGAATGTAACTGAGAGGGAGGAAGAATGAGTGGATGAGTGAGAGGAAGAATGAGATGCAGGTAAAATGAGTGAAAGGGATGGATTGAAGGAGAAAGGGGGAAGGGAAAATGGATGACATTTGTTGAGTGGGAAGAAGGAAGAATGAATGAGAGAGAGAGAGAAAGTGGGGATAAATGGGTGAATGGGATGGAGGGAGGATGAGTGGATGAAAATAGGAGGGGAGAATGAGTGAGAGGGAAGGAGGGAGAATGAGAATAAAAGATTGGGAAGGCAGCAGAATGAAAGGGAGAGAAATAGGGAGAATGAGTAAGAGAGAATGAGGTTTATTTTTTTTATTATATCTTACAATAGTTTATATTGTGAGACATTGTTTTGTTGTGAGACACTGTTATATTATGAGTTTTTTTTTTTGTCAACAAACTGGCAGTATCACACTGAGGCAGGGCAACCTAAAAAGAAAAGCAAAAACTTTTCTTTTTAAATTTAGTAAT